AGGTTCCGAAGCCCGGAAAGACTCATTCCCATTGATATCCGAACAAAATATCCCCGGATTTCGATGTAAATGGTGTTTTTTCCGGGTTTCGGAGCCTGCAGGGAAGGGGTATGAAGTGCAGGACAGCAGGGAAAAACGACTCGGGGTTGCTTCGGGGCTCGGAAACTTTCAGAAAAGCATGTCAAACCTGGTGATTGTCATTTTCAAAAAAGAATGTTTACTTGTGAGACATCCGGGCTCGCTGACGAGCGGAACTGCTGAACATCTGAATCTATCCGTCGATGTTCATCAAGTGGGTTATGATCCGGCTCGGCGATTTCCCCTTGAACCCCGAATTTCGAGAATCGTGGAAAATATCCTGTATCGATCTCGACTCCTCCTGATTAAATTTTAGTGAGGGGCCTCGAGGGATACACGTGTCTGTGTTAGTGACTGGAAGCTTGACTGTATTGGAAGAGTGAGCTGAGAATCAGGATGGCACAGTAGGAGATGCCGATCACGTGGATGACGAGTAGACAGATGGATCCGGCCGCTTATCTTCGACCATTCACTGGAGGTACAGCGGCAGTGGCTGATGCGTGGTTGAAAGAGTTGAACAAGGCAAGACGGATAGGCAGATGGACTCAACCCTACACCGAAAGCGTACTTTTCGCTAAGATGTCAGGGGCGGCGCGATACTGGCTTTTGAATCACGGGATTGAGTGCGGGACGTTCGAAGAATGGCAGGCAGCGTTCGAGAAGGTCTGCATCCCGAAGGAAAGAGAGCGGGAGTTGGTCGACGAATTCTACAGGGGCACTCAGGCCCAGGGCGAAGATGTGGAGGTGTATGCGCGGCGTATGGAAAACTTAGGACGAGGGCTGAACATCGAACTGAAGGGAATCAAGGGAGTTATACTCACGGGATTGCTCCCGGAGTATTCATCCATTCATATGAAGGGTGAAATAAACCGTGACCGTTCGCCCACTATAGCTGTTTTCCTTGTGCATGCTGATATCCCAGCCAAGTCCCCAACCGTATTCTTACAGACGGAACAGCCAACCCGAACATCGAGCGTGTTTGGGGCCCCCTGGACGGACGTCGTGTTCCGGCTCCTCATTGAAGCCTGATTTGTATTTCGCGGAAATCTCACGGTCGGAAGACCCGTCGTCTCAACGAGCACCTCTGTGGCCAGCTGAGGGACATTTGTGTCAACTCACCAGTGGTGAGTCTGATGATGATGATGATGAGTGCGATGAGCCGACAGCCTGCGGGGACGTGGATGGAGAACGGAAGTGACCTTCTTCGCTGGAAACGGGAAGCTGATCGCCCTCGGAATTCCAACGACATCCGGAGGTACCTGGCAGAGAGAGAAAAATACAGAACACGCTAGAATGAGGTGTTTTTCCCGAGCCAATCAGCGATCCCCGGTGAATATCCGTGCTGGTGGCAGCAGCGGCGGAAGCGGGACAATCCGCAGACGCGGAGCCTCCGGCCGCCGCGGAAAAATCATTGTTTGACTTACTCGTCACGAAGTAACAGCTAATATCAAGGTCAGCGCTGTTGGTGTTTTGGAGGAAGAAATATTCGTCATCCGTCAGCAGACCCCTTGTTATCGCACTGATGTTGACATGCGATGGCAAACTTCGTGCTTCTATGCGATTGGCTAAAGTTACGGTGTGGCCGAATAAACAGTAGCGTGGCATATGCACGCCGACTATTCCTGCCATGGCGGGCCCTGAGTGAATTCCGACCCTGATCTGGAGGATGAGCGTGAGGCCGGCTTGAGTTCAACAGATCGACAATAACGGGGGAATACCTATCAATCCCACGATTGGATATAGGGAGACTCCATTATCGACTTGAGCATATTTACGCACTTCGAGTTTGTGCCCTGGAACGGGCGAGTGGACTCTATGAGATATCGCGACCATTTCCAAACCCAGTCTCACTAATCGATCGGCGTGGTCCGCTGTGGCTTCCGGGACCCCGGAGACGACCATATACGCGTCCCCGATTGTTTCTACCTGTGGGTGTCATCGAATGTTATCTTTGGAATCGCAGGGAAATCTGCGATTCTCGTCATTCGAGGCAGGGAGCTATGAATCCTGGTTTAGCGTCCGTCCTGACCTACCTTGTACACTTGATGGATGTTGGTGAGGGCGTCGAATTGAACATAGAGACGATTCAACAAACGAATTATATCCATGGCTACGACTGCCTCGTTGCTGCAGAGAGCCGTGAAGCCAACAATGTCCGAAAACAGACAGGAAATCATTGGAAACTGCTCGGCTTCAACGGGGAGATCTTTCAGCAGACAATGAGCTACTTTGGCCGGAAATATTGAACAAATGAGATCCTCGGTGCGTTTTTTGTCGTCGCGCAGCTTCGTCTCGAGAACCTATCGATAGCAGCACAGGGTTAGCGCCGACCGAAGCTCTGACGAACGTCAAGCTTCGCGCGAACAAGCACGAGTCTCGAAGGAGGGGTCTTGTCCCCACGTTCTTCATATCTACCTTGAGATGGTTACTGGCCTCGTCCAGCTTTTCGACGAGCTCTCGCTCGCCTTTCTGATAATGCGACAAGAGGACGAGATCTTTCGAGGCGTCGTGCACGGAGAAATCTGAGAAGAACACTCCAAGCGCCGACATGTCCTCAATCTCGGTGAATCTCGGGGATGCGACGAAGATGAGTAAATCGCTTTCGGGCACCGAGATCATTTGACCCTTGAAGCGCACGGTTCCGCCCGTGGAGCCTTCAGGCTTTGTGTTAACCTGAAAAGGCTCCGGATTAGAAACTGAACACCGAAGAACAAAGACGGTTAGCTTCAGCACTCGCTAGAGCGCCTGTGTTTCGGGGACAACCTCCGAACTCCACTATCGAGAATTCCCAGAACGACAATTGCCGTTCACGACCGTAAGAACAGGGTCCGGACAAAGAGACCAGGAGTTTCGTGGACGGGATAGCTGTCAGAGCGCTTTCGCCCCGCTCTCCTACTGGTCGAATCCGTCCCGCTCTCAACGCGATTTCTGCCTGGAAAAACTCGCTCCCGCAAACAGGCAATCCTGTCCGTTCACACATCGCAACTTGCGACGATCGGTGAAGTTTGATCGCCAAGGGTTGTGGGCAAGTTTCCGGATCGCGCTACCTACCCGTCGACTTGCAGCTTCTTTCCGGAGTGTCGCAACAAATGCTTGATTGAGATAGTCGAGAATTGAGTCGAACGACACATCTAGAAGTGGTCGTGCGATGTTGAAGACGTCCGTCAGCTTCACACTAGGCGATGATAACACATCATCTCTGATCATCTCACGTAACGAGTCTCCTATCTCTAATATGGTCAGGTCCCTGCAATAATCAATCGAGTATCAGATAGCAGCCAACAGAGCCTGGAATGCACCGTGAGAGACCGCGCCTGCGTGTATCGACGCACGAGCTTCCTGAACTACACAGAGATCGTGCCTAGGCGATACGGAGCGACAGACGTCAACCTCGGACCGGATACGAAGCGATAGACGTCAACCTCTGACCGGATACGGTCGGGTCATATCCGCCCGAACGTTTCGTTTTCGTTCCCGATTCCTCCCCGTGCCCACGCACCGCATTCCCATCATTCCCTCCAGGGGGGGACAACTTGCGTCAGAGAGACTCATTTATCCCCTGGCATGGGGCGACATACAATAGAACGGAGTCACAGAAAAAGAATCGCAAACCGCTCTCTCCTCGTGCAAACGAAGGGGGGAACACACCACACGATTCGCGTGCTTCCTAGTCGAAGAGAGAAATGCTTTCTCCGGGCCAGAAGGGCAGGACGGGGCCCGCTCGCGCCCCTTTTCCCTCTCCGAGGAATCAATTTACCTCGAGTCAAAGCCTGTCCAAGCCTGGAAAATGAAAAATGAAACCCAAAGCCCAGAGAGGGAACCTCCGCTAGCTCTGGCGACGATTCACGCCAGTTGGTCGTGGTCGTGGAGACTTTATGATCAAGGGCGCTCATTTTTGACGGGAACATGACCTCGGACGCGGACAGCCCACGATAAAACATCGAGGAAACCGCGGAAATCGTTCGTTTCGCTTGTTAAGTCGCGGGGATTTCGGAAAAAAATGTTTTCCAAGGCACCAGGTCAATGCCTGAGCTCAGTTCCGTTCTGACATTAAGAGAAGTGCGGGCAAGCAATGCTTCACCAGAGATGCATTCGGTTCAGGCGGGGCTCATCCGACGAAGACGCTTCGGACTCGACAGAGCATGGGCTGCCGGGCTGGGATCGGGCGCAGGACCACCTTGACCTCCGAAGAGCTCAGGGGATCGGGAAAACGCGCGCCATGATTGGTTAAATCGCCCGTGCTATTTTTCCCGGCAGCTCTTTGGAGGGATCCATCTTCGAACCTGTCCGAACACGACACGTATTGCACCACGCGGAGGAACGTGGTCAGCTGTTACTCGCCGGAAGCCCCCCTCGGAAAAGGTAGTCATCCGCAAGCTTGGAGAGCGGAGATATTATCCGGATTGCGCTTGTTGGAGACGAAGCTCAGTCGAAAGAAAACACTGCGGTCGAAGGTGATCTGATCTGAGCTGATTTCCTCCGCCAGAGCTCTCCAATTGTGGGAGTTTCCTCGGAAGGCCTCCACGATAAGGCTATACGGAACGCAACTCCAAGAATCCACTCGCTTCGCACGGGAAATAGAAATCGTGAACGTCGCGGAGAAATTCACGAAAATAACGGAAATCGCTTGAGATCGCAATCTCCGAAAATTCCGCGACCTCAGCGACTTCCTCACAGCCCTAATTATGATTGACTTCAGACAGTAGAACCTCGTTGAAAGGCTCTTGAGGGGACCGGCCGAAACTGTCCGTTTTGTCCGAACTCCCCGTGCCCGGAGATTGGTTCTGAGACAGAATCGAGCTTGGAAATCATCGGGAGCACCGCTGCAGCCTGTTCTTCCGAGGCGTATTAGGGCAACGAACCTTTAAAGTCGGCAAATAGTCTATCGCCCTTGTTTTCCCTGTTCGCAAGTATAGGCCTCTCATAAGCGCTTCGATCAGCTATGGAGGGTACGGCACCGGGGCCTGGAGGTCAGTCTGTTATATCAAAAAAGTCCGTCGTTGGGTCCGCTATGGCCAAGTCGCCTAATATTGAGGATCCCATGGGCTTGTGCGAATCCGAGCAGTCGGTCCGTTGTGACCCAAAGTTCCTTATATCCCGGTCCGTTATGGGGAGGTTCTACTGGAGCGACTTTATCGTGGCATCGAGTCTCGAGTTTCGCTCTCATTCGCGCGAGAGGTCTCCATGCGCCTCCATTCGAAATCATAACCGCCCACTGAGCGAAGTTCCAAACGACCTCTCAATCGACTACGATGACAGCTCCATGAATGGAGTTGTGCGACAAAATTGTTGATTCTGCAGCCCGGATTGCGCATCCGCTTGTGCTTGATCACGAGGACGGAAATAAAAAAATTCCCGCCTCAGGGACGAATTGCGGTGCCTAGCGACCGAGGCCGGAAACACGAAAGATTGACTAGCTTACGAACGTCCTCCCCCCTCCGCAACCTTGTCCCGTGGGATCCCGAAATTGTGGGAGCTCATAATCAAGCGACGCATGCTGCCCGGAATTTGACTCCGTCGAGGCCGGAATGTTTCAATGTTTCCCGGACAAGACTGATGGGATCGAGTCAAGCGTCCCCGGAGAACCCCGCTCCACGGAGCCGGGATCATTCGGAGCCAGGGCTCTGCAGGGGTCTCTCCGGGATGAACGAGGAATCCCTTCGAGCCGTCATCAGGGTTTCGGTTCTGCGAGCGATCCGTAGCGGGCTGGCTTCCGTCGATGGAGAGATATTCCGGGCCTCTTCTGTACTTCTCCGCCATATCAGACCCCCCCCCGCCGATCGCTTCAGATCCCGTAAGAGCAATGTCCGGATAGATATGAAGAGACGATCGAAGAGCGGCGATACTCACCTATCGAACAGTGCGTGGAAGGGGAGTGCTGTACAAAGGGTTCGTGGAGAAATGCAGAGGTCCGAGGGTTGCTTGCTCAAATGGTCAGTGATATGTGCCGAAGCAAATGATGACCGCTTGCTCCTATTTCCACAACTGCTTCCTCCACTGCCGCGTCTCGCTGGCTCTGCTGCGGCCACCTGCAAAGTGTTGGCCTACACCGCTTATGACATTCACTGTTGCTTTCACCGGCATCGGAGCTAATCTATCCTAGCCTACTTCAAGCAAAGCTCATGTATATTTCGGCCCCTTCCGCCCGGAGCTCCGCTCCCTTTCACCTGCTTGACCCCTCTGCTCTCTCTCTGCTCTCTCTCTGCTCTCTCTCTGCTCTCTCTCTGCTCTCTCTCTGCTCTCTCTCTGCTCCCTCTCGGCTCCCTCTCTGCTCTCGCATGTGGTTTGCTCAGAGAATCAGCTTCCTGGCCAGCTGCTCACCAAGAACTATTCAAGATAGCTGCGTAGAGAAGGAGCCCACGACTACTCTCAGCTTACGCAATCTCTGGATGATAAACAGTCGAGATCCGCGTTCAGCATCGTGGGGACAGGAAAAGATTAGGCTTCACGCTGACGTCCCGGTCGGACGCATTCTTCCTTGCCTTCATTGACATTCCACGGAAAAAACGGTACCGAGCACGAGCCCTCCATTTTTTTTGAGCTTGCGTTTGCATGTAAGGCTCCGATTATTAGGAGCGGCACCCGGGGAATGGGAGTGCTCCTTTCGGCGATGTACACACGTTCGGCCGACTGAGTCTGCAGCGATTGCGCTTAGTATGCCTAGAGCTCCATGCAACTCCTGTGGTGCGAACACGGATTACTACTATGCAGTTACCTTGAGGAGTGAGTTATCCGAAATTTCCATTAGGAAATGATATCGCTCGCCGGCCTGCTCAAGCACCCGACAGATGCCGATGCTCACGTCGGTATCGAACAAGTCTCGAGCGATTGTCTTCACTAAGCCTCGCACTATGCCCTGGAGACCCTTCCGTGTCGAGTAGTAATGCAGGTGAATGGATCCGTTGGGGCCCGGAGTGACACGGAAGCTTGGTGCCTTCATGTTCGAATAGGACACGGTCACGTGGTCGTGCAGGTTATCGAGGTTGCTCAGGAAATCGGATAAGTTCGAGCCGAGAACTCGCAGCATTTTATCGTATCCTCGTTCGAGACAATAGCTGAGGAAATGGGAGCCAAGTTCCTCCAACAGGTCATCCGCGCACACACCTATAAACGGCGAAAATATATTTTTTCTCTCGTTACGTGTCTGTAGAGCTACTATTGTCGGAGCGGGCGGGAGTCCCATTCCTCGAGACCACGCTCCGGTGGGCCGTTGTGGCTCGAAAAGTCAATAATCACACGAGCTATCCGAGTGAAGAGTTGCCATTCGTTACCACGTGGCTCGAGTCTCGACGTCTGCACATCAAGTCTGGGTATTCGAAATTCCTTCGTGTTACTTGCGCTCTACGCCAGCTAGACTCACTGAGGGTTTCGCTGGCTGCCTGTACAAGCTTCAACAACATGTCGTCAGGGTACTGTTTGTGCAGGAGGAAGGACCCTCCGTGCAGCTTCACGTGACTTCTCCGACTGAAAATTGAGAAACAAAGAGGGTCATGATAACAGTCCGCATTGACGCAATGCGGGAATTCGTCGCATCGGGAGCTTCTCTCATTGAGAACTCTCGTGCTGGGATCGGCACGTACGGATTCACAGCCACGCGGATGTCTCTGCGAGCTCTGCAGGGGGGTAAGGACTCCGCAGTCCACATCGGCGTTTGACGCCGTATAAACATTGTGAACTCGATTCCAATGTGAGGACAAATTTATAGGGCCCAATCCATGGGACCCGGGGCGCCGAACGTAAAGAGAGACTCTCCACGGGCAGGGAAGAGCTTGGCATCCGCTCGAACCACTCTCAACCGACAATAATTTTACAGGTACCGGGGATCAATAAATTACTTTCAAGACGGAAAGATAGAATTTAATGGAAAATTATCATAGTTCTCACGATTCTCGGTCGCATGCATTAAGTTGGATATCACTTACAGAATTTTGAGCCACGTGTCTCTGTCATACTTGCTGACAATGAGCTCCTCCAGCGACAGACAGAAGAACCCATACTGGAACAGTACAAAATCCATGAAAATCGTCAGAACAATTATTCTTATTTTCCCTGCAGAGTATGCGATAGATAACGATTGTGATCATATGTAGGTAAATGAATAGACCTATTCCGGAAAGGACCTTCCCTGACGGTATCGAACCGCTCTCAATTGCTCCGCAAACCTTCCGAACCTCGACTGGAGCTTCCTCTTCGACAGTCTCCATACGCTTCCCTAAATCCCGGAGCAGACACCGTCCAACCCTAGACCTCTGGGGTCCTGATAGCCACGACTTGGACGATGGATCAACTTTCGAGCTCGCGATACTTTGCGAGTTTGCTTTTCTCCGCTGGACTCGCGACCGAACCAGGTATACGGGCCCAAGGACCATTGAGAATTATTCTCGGGGAATTATCCTGGCCGGAAAACGCGCTGAGACACCGCCCGGAATTCCGCTCGCGACCGACAGGTTCCTAATCTGTGAACAGACTTTCTCCTGCGGACCGGATTCCCTCACCGGAGGCAAACATCGTCACGTTCTCCCCACGAACTCTAAATACATAAGAACCCTGCTGTGCGGGGGATTCTGTCCGAGAGTCCAAGAGGTTTTTGCCGGGGGGAGCTACCCCCTTCCCAAGTCTGTCGGTCTCTCTCTTCCCTTCGCTAACATTCAAAAATGTATTATTCTGATACCGTCCTTCTAGAAAATTTCGCTTCGGGAACCCAGAAGCCTCGCCCGCTGCTGGGCTCTTCTCCCCCGCCGAGGCACAGGCGGTGAGGCGCCTTGTGTCGCCGAGACTACGGAAAAACACCGGAATCAGCTTGCGAATTATCTCCACCAGCAGTCGCGGAGATTCAAAAATCCTACCGAGATATCCCCACCGAGCCTGATGTCTTCGAATATCCGCGGAAGCAATCGCGCTCCCCCGCGGAATCCCTTACGATCAGACGCTCGATCTCGACTGATTCCATCAGCGCGACGGCGGAGCTTTTCCGCGACTGCAAGGTTTCTCTGGGGCCCGTGATCCCCAGCCGGAATCAACTGAATCCTCTCGCTCACCACAATTCGCTGCTGAAGCGAAACACAACCTTTCTCTCTGCGACTCCTCTGGCGTGAACGAAAAGAACGAGAATTTCTACCTGTCGCGGAATGAAATATTGTACTCGAGCGCGGAGCGTCCGACGATCTCGAAGAAATTCCGACGGCTTTCCCAGAAAAATGCACCAAGTCCTGGGGCACCGCGGTAATCGCGATTTGCACAACGATCGTCGCAAGGACTCCGGGTGGTGAATCCGGCGACCGCGGTGAATCGTTCCTTCGGCGGAGGGAGCATCTGTCTCATTGAGTCTCTGGATCCAACTTCAGTCAGATCGTGTCCCCGTCAGGTGAAATTCCGTCATGGAAAGCACATTCCAGCATCGACAATCTCAAGACGGATGTACTAAGGGGAGACTCCCGGCTGATTCGGAAAATGGAAAGAAACATTTGAACGAAGTTCTCGCCAGCGTTGCGGTGATCGTTGTGTCTGACTGACTGTGAGAGCCGTGGCGCATCTTCTGACCCTACCGCAAGGTAGGACAATTGAACTAAATCGAGACAAAAGGCTGCAGAAATTCAACATGCGTCCGCCCAAGATTCGGGGCACATTACTCGCTTGCAGCTCAGTTGGACGACGGCATCCTTGGAAGAAGAAGGGGGAAAACTATCAGCCGAATGCTCGCGCGGAAGGGCCATGAAGTCATGGATGTCGAACAAACCTTGGGTCACCTCCGTCCTTGATCTAAGCATGAGAAAAGAATGGGGCGTGGGGGACTCTGGAACTTAGAGTGCGATGCGCGGATTCTCTCCCGCAGGAACATGTCATGATGAGGGATGAGTAAGATACACTGAAAGTCGACCCTGTCAGACGCTGTACATGCGTTTGGATTCTTCTGTCAATCGTCTCATATCATGCTGGCCTTCTTGGAATCAGCTCTGGGAGAGAGAAGCTATCTACCCTCGAAAATAGGTAACGCAGAAATTTTGCTCTGATCATTCTGCGTCCGGCACCTCCCTCGAACCGAATCGTCGGAGAGTATCTGCGGTCAGCTCCTCAAAGCGTGCGTCCTCAGGTTCCTTGCGAGTTTGCTAAAGTAAGTATCGAAAGATGTCCGGAAGAGATTTCCCACCGCCATAGTTTGAGCAATCCGTCGACAATCTGGGCTGCGAGTGGGGCCTGATCGGTGAAATGCTACTTCACAATATGTATCAGGACCACTTCCGAAATATCGGTCGTCGGCAGCGACATCTCCGCTTCGGCACTCGTTCATTCCCCGAAACGCCGCCGCGCCGTATGCATCGAGAAAACACATGTCACGTCGCGACTTTGTTGAGTTTTCGAATCACCGAGAATTCCGGTCAGGAGGGCTCGCGTCCCAACGCATCGATCGCACCGACTGCAGCGAGCATCTCCGGAATGACGGAGGATTCGCGAGATAAAGGATTCCGGGTTCCGAGATGGATAGCCGGAACTGTGGGAATTTAGACTTCGCTGCCGCAAACTCCTGGAATCCCGTCAACTGCTAGTCGTCCTGGAAACCACCCCACTCAGGGGCTCACCGCTGGAATCCGGAATCCGGCCCTCATCGGAATCACTTGTCCGTCGTGACGTTCTGCAGGTGCAATTAGGAGTTCCTGGCTGTCGTCGTTGACGACGACGGTGGCAATACTTTAATGAGACGAGCACCAACACAGCAGACAAGCGGCCTGGACAGACACGAGAGAATCCGGAGGAGAAAATGACTCGAATAGTTCATCATTGGAGTGATGCCGCTGTGGCCTCCTCCACTAGGCCGTCTTCGCAAGTCATGCAGGCTCCCACGGGATTGTGATCGATAGTTATCGCCTTCATAAACTACCATATATGCACACATCGGCAGCCAGATCAGTATTTCCTACGGGTCGTCGCAAGGCGTGCAGTTTTATTTATGTTCAGAGAATGAGTGGCCCCTGGGATCCAGAGCGCCCCTATGGCTGGCGAGGGGCTCCTCCGTAGGACCAGCGACCGGGGGAAAAAATTCGACTGCGAGCGAAAGACGGTACGACTCCGTGAGGAACGAGTCCTAGCCTAGGCTCGAGGCAGGAGGAGTCAGGGACCGGGGACGCCAGATGCTTCCGATGCTGAGGCCGATCATTTCCTATGCATACGTGCTCCGATGTTTCAACGGATCTCCATCGGGCTAGGGTTATTGTCTGGCTCGGAATTTTCGTAAGCTGGATGCGTCCCTTTGCTCATCTGAACCTCTAGAAACCAGATGATGCGTCTCGCTCTTTTCCATCCAAAGATCCAGTCTAGGTCGATATCGCGGTTTTCACGATATCGATTTGTATTCTCGCGATTCCCCAAAGTGCGAAACCATTCCTTTCGTAAAAACGCTGTATGATCACATAACAGTCTTATGTCCCGGAAAAAAAGAAACATCTTTCCACGGAGCAGTTGTCCTTCGTGACAGTTCTCGATGATCGTAGAGCGGGGTAGGAGTATCGAGACATGCGTGTATCGTGACAGTGACCATCGGTTCGGCTGTAACAACAAAACGATCGACGATCCTCCCGCCCACAACGAGGACTTCGGACGAAACTTCTGTGAAAGAGTAGGGCTGCGCACGGGAGCCAGAGGGCAGACGGCGTCCGGGAACCGGCCGAGGCTTAGAACGATCATACTGTCGTAGCTCCGCCTGACAACGGCGGGAACGGCGATGCCAATGATGATGAGGGTGGCAAGTTACCCGAGAGGATCTCTCCACCTCATCGTGGGTACGTTTCGCGGCGTACCTCCACCGTCACCGCGCCGTCCTCTCGTGCGTCGAGCACCGCGTTCCTCGGTCTTGGCTTTTTTCTCCTTCTCTGCGAGAACCTCACGGTCCCTTGTCGCGCTGACAATCCGTTTGCTCAAGCTGTCGGAGAGGGAGGAATGTGTTTGAAAGATTGTTGACACACGCCCGGCGGCTGGAAGAAAAATGAAGGAGGAAGTTGTCCCAACGCCTTAGGTGAGCTCGCAGCTCAATCGCCCTACGCCTCAAACCAGCATTGGAAACTTCAAACACCGTTTTGCTTTGTCTCTCCTCTGCCCCACGCTCTTTCCTCCTGGGCCGATGCTGATCCCAAATCCCGACGCGGCTTGCGAAACAAAAGCATAGCAGATATATCTTGGAGGAAATCTTGAATGACGAATCAGCGACTCGTACGTGGAGCGTTCGCCGATGCTTTTGAATTTATTCTTGGAGATCTCGGGCGAGAGGCATGACCGATCGATGTCAGCCAGGAGTGCTCCCAGGCTGATTGAGCCCTTGCATAGCGGGATCATCCATTCGCCAGCTCGCAGCGGTCACACAAAAGTTGACTCCGTTTCGAGGAAAAATAGACGGATCTCAGCAGTATTTCGGCAAGTCGAATATCCATCTCCGATTGAGTCTGAGCTCGGCCCTCCGATCGGAGGAATCGTATCCGCGACTCACTCGGCTCACGACTCGAAAGGGGGTATATGTCATGACCTCGGGGCATTTCCGGTCAGAACCCGGAGATCATCGACAATGTAATCTGACCGAATGCATGATGGAGGTCTCCGTTCCTCTCGCTGAGCTCCGGTCCATCATCGCGACGCGACGATCTTTCCGAGGAATAACCCTTCCGCGCATATTTTCTCATCCATGGATACACCGATGAAACTCGAACGAACTTTTCCCAGACTTTGTTTCTCTTTTGAGTGTATACAGTGTGGCCTCAATGTAGCGATTCGTGATGTGATCATGGGACAAGTTATTTTTGTTCAACTCTCGAGGAACCGAATGTCTGCCCCAAATACACTCCGTCGTTCCGATGTATGGCTCGAGATCTCATCGTGGCTGGCGATTTTCCCTGAAGGAGCGGAGGAAAATGTAAGCCGAAGTACCTCCTGGGGTCCTCGCCGGATATGTCCGCATAAGCGCCAGAGAATGTGGGATATTGCTATCGCTCGAGTCCAAAGATATGAAAGCGAGACGAAAACTTGTAGGACGAA